TGGGTGCTTGGCAGACGTAGTTGACCTACTTTAGCTCTGACCTTGATTTGCTCAGAGGTGTTTATGTACTCGTGATCAGCTTTGCTGCATGATTAAGCTAGTCACGTGTCATCTAACTTTTTTTTTAAGGGATAAACAGTAAGATTTGTTTTTACTGTCTCATTAGCCTCATTGCAGGGGGTTGAGAAAGATTGAATGCAAGGGAGGGGAATCCTGAAGGAAGTAGTCCCAAACAGGCTGTGGAGAGACACTGTCATGCGATACAATGACAAAATATCATTTGATTCTCATCTACAGGAGAATTTAATCAGGAAGTGGACTACATGGCATTTTTTTCAAGTAGGTCCTTGGAGTACTTTGGCAACAGGCTGGGCATCATAAATGGAAGATTTGAACTTTGCTTATACGTACGGGTAACTTCTGCATTCCTTCTCATAGAGGATTTTTTTGAGCCATTGAACAACTAGCAGCTGGAGGCTGAAAAGATAGTAAAATATTCAATTTTTCAGAATTTTAAGAAAGCCTTGCAACAAAACATTTCTCTGAACTGTTCACTTTATTATAGTGGGGCATGCTGATTTTTGCTCTGATCATTGGGTTGACATTTTCTTAACTTTAAACCTGATTTCAAGAGAGACGCGTGATTCTTAACTCCCGTAAAGCTAAAATGTAGGGCTGTGGTTGTTAGAACTGGGATGAGCATTTGGGGCATGGTAGAGAAAGGGCTGACTTGAAAAGAAATTGAGAATTCTGTTTTTCATGTAACTTTGTTCTGCTTAAATGGTCAAGACACTTAAAATAGCTGCTTTGAAACTATCAAGTATAGACACTTGGTTATAATTTAAAATAGCACAGTTGAATGGATTCTTGTTTTTGAGAATTTTTCTATAAAACTGCTTTGAATTTTTTGTTTTGATATGAACAACAAAGCAATTTTTTTTTTTTGCATTAAAGCACACCAGTGACATGCAGTGCTCTGATTATTAAGCTAAAATGCTGACTGTTGCAGGCATTCTTAAAGGGAAAGGACTGTGTTTAAAAAAAAAAAGGATTTGTAAGTTTTCCCCTTTTTTCTTTTTTAATTCCAGCTCATCCCAACCTTCTGTCTGAGGTAGTCATAAGTGGTCCATGAAATTATATTAAGGAGTAAAATGTGAGTTCAACAAGTACGCTCACATATAGAGGTGTTCAGGAACTTTTGAAAGTTAATTGTGGGTGGTTGGGCCAGAAATTTTGGAAACTACTTGTTTCTAGTAGGTGCATTATACAGTGCTAGGGTTTTATATTAGGTTCCAAGACTGAATCATGGATGCACAGTAATTGGACGGTGTAAAAAAGTGGCATCGTAGGTAGTTTGGTGTGACAGTACTTTTATCACTGGATTCATAGGGCTTAGCCACAGGCCACACTAAGGTTAGCTATAACTTCTGCACGTCAACCGAGGTTGATGTAATGTTTTTGCATCTGAACCAAGCACAGAGAAATGGTCAGTGATTGTGGTTTAACTGGTGGCTTGTAAATTAAGCTGCAGTAATCTCATAAACCACAGTAACATAGTTGAGTTTATAGTTGTTGGACTACTTTGAGTAAGAGAGACAAAGCAGGCAGCTAGGAAAAGGCTGATACAGGAAGAAAGTAAGGCCTGATCTACAAGTAACTGTATTACTGTGAATGAAAGCCTTGTAAAATAAACTGTGGTTATGGATTCAATGGCAATTTATAATTTGACTTAAATTTGTACTGATTTAGCTTTTATCAGTGACCTTCTGGTGTCAGCTGACCTCTTAACTTGCCTGTACCGGTATGTCCACACATTCACAAATACCTGACTCCTTTTTCATTTTTGAGAAAGGACCACAGAGGAGTTGTTGGGTGAGATAGACGATGAGCCCTCAGCAGCAGTTTGGAAGCTCTGCTTCCCCCCACGGGCAGGGAAGACGACCGGCCTGGCTGAACGGGGCGCTCTTGCTGGGACTCAGGAAAAAAAGGAGAGTTTTCCACTTGTGGAAGAAGGGGCAGGCAACTCAAGAAGAGTACAGGGATCTCGTTAGGTCATGCAGAGAGGAAATGAGAAAGGCAAAAGCCCAGCTAGAACGCAATCTGGCCGCTGTCGTTAGAGACAACAAAAAATGTTTTTACAAATATATTAATGACAAGAAGAGAGC